AGACTTACCTCCACGTGGTGCACCCTAGGCAACATATATTCATACGTCAAAAAAGTTTATTAACCGGCAGTTGGCTCCTCATTTCTAACTACTATCACTCCACTGTATGTCATATTCGACTACTACCACAGTACTCACCCCACTTATTTTCTACCTTTGTGTCTGTTTCTTTTACATCTTTGAAACACTCTTCTGTTCCACCCCCTCCTCTTGACTTTTTTTCACTTTGATGTTTTCTTACCCTCTGTGAAGCTTGAAATCAACTAAAGGGCTAATGATAACTATCATAAAACCTACCATTTGATATAAATAAAATATCTTAATTCGTCATTTCTCATTAAGTTTCATTGGATTTTAAATTGCATGCGCTGAATCGTTGAACTCGAAATTTTTAAGTGATCAACTAAAAATTCCTTTGCATTGATTATGTTTAATGCGGTACTCAAGTAATCACCTGCGCACTCGGAGACCAAAACCGACGAATCAGCGTAAAGAGGAATGTTCGTACAGTTTCCTATTTACCAATCCACCATCTCTATTGAATATTATAGCAAAAAGTTGGAAATGGCGCCAATTAAGGACAAACTCGAAAAATTTCTTTCCAGAAAATATTTGTTTGCAACTCGACAACCGCTGTTAAAAGAAGAGAACTCAGTAATTTGGTGCGTAAAAAATATCAAAATTACACCACAGAGGTAATTATTTCCGATTTTATTAAATTGATTCTCGCTAAATTTATTTGGAAATGTGCGATTGCGAAAGGTGACTGAATACAAATTGAAAAAAAATCGAATTCGGTGAAGATCTTTTCGCAAAATTCATAAATTTACACAAAGCTTCAATTGAGCTTAGCGCCTTATAATTTATCAGTCAAAGGTATTTAAATGCTAAATTTTAAACTCACGGGGACATTTACTCTTATTTAATAAAATCCTTGAATTTTTCAAATCATTATTACCCATGGAGAAGAATGCAAAAAACCTTTTTCACTTGGGGAAAGAAATTAAAGTATAGTAACAGTAAAGTTCAATTAGGGCAATAGAGAATGAATTGAATTGGTGTTGACAATAAAGATAAAGTTACCAAATCGTCATTAATTTTGCCTTGACTGTGCTCAATGACTCAAATTTTAAAAATTCTATTTCGAAATTTGTTCATTCGAATACAAAGAAAATTTGTACCCATGACACTAAGTGCCGCTTCAACACATTGTTTTTCTCCCAACGACCCGGAAAACTAGATTGAGTTACGTGGTTTTAGCACTACAGGGATGAGGTAATATAGGATCATTCATCTCCCTGTTTAAAACACCTAGACGACTGAATGCAAGAAGTGGATCAAAATTGTGACCTTCGGCAAGGTTATATGTGTCTATTTGCTAATTTACTATTTTTCGTAGTAGAAGAAAATCTAATTCTATCGACTAAATTAACAAATTTAAATACTGCTTGGAAGATCGTAAAATGGTTACATACAGTTGAAGACGCTTCAAATTTCGGTACAACGAAACAATAGAAAAGCGAATATTAGCATTAGCTTATATGGCAAAAGATGGGAGAAGCCTAAGGTTAGCCAACCTGCCAATGTTGCGGTGTTTTTAATGATGACAAAGTACCCTGGAGATCCACGTGGGCTGTGAAAGCGGAAAATGTATGTGAGAAAATATTTTGTAGTAAGAGATTAAGCGTAATTCCAATAATCGATAACATTTCCAAGGATTCCGTGTAAAATGGAATGAATATGGCAAAATAACTTCTATGCGCAAGAATCAATAACCTTGATATTGCATAAAAAGAACCCGATTGAGTATGACATGGGATTGCTGGACAAATAATCGCAAAAAGGTCTGAATTATTCACAGACCATACACATGCATCAACTTTCTATCATTAATGCAAACCTTCGATATCTACATGAAGCAGATACATAAAGTGGAAAAGAGTAAGACCGACTGAACCACACTTAATGATGAAAAATAGAAAAATTTTAAAAATGATATTTGCAGAGCAAAACATATTTACGGTTGTTTATTTGAACCGTTTGCGAATTAAGGAAAGACCAAAGGAGATGGAGTTCAACTTGTGGTGAGATCGATGAAATGGCATCAGTACTTCAAACATTCGAGAACTGGAAATAGTAAAACAGTCCAATAACGAGAAAAGAGTAGATAATTGAGTTATAGCCTCATCATTAATAGCTTCTAAAAGGTTTAAGTTCTATTTGCATCTGGTTCGTATAAATGAGGAAACTCGGATGCGACATATCCAAAACCCCATAATTTTGAATTTAAGGTTTATGGCTCGTGGTGTTTAATAATTATTTGCCATTTGGATAAATGTGGTTTGTCAAGAGAAGGTAAAATACGGTTATCTCTTTTAATCAATAAAGAATCATATTTTTCCATTCAATTGTCATTGGCTTTATGGAAAATGGCTGTACGATTGTAAATTTTTTAATATGAAAGTAAACGAGCATTTCAGCCGTTAACTATCCAATCAGAAACTGCCGTCGCTTCCCTCCAGTAATTGTCGTGATGCGCTCAATTTCATATTTTTAAATGCCTCACTGTAAATAGAGCCAACTAAAGAAAATTGTTTTAACTTTCTAATTGCCTGGCAAACAACAACGATATTTTCAAATTTAAATGTTTGCGGTTTCTCCGATTCGCACCCAATAGCTACGTTACAATATTTTTATATTAGAATTAGCGCTGTTTTTAGTTAAATTGATTTAATTAACATATTCAAACAATAAAATCTCTAAATTTAGCTTGAAAAATATGGCTATAGCAATTCAAATTAGAAAGAACGCCACAGGGGTGGAGTGTATTAGGGCAATTTTCCCATCAGGGGTCGACTCAAAATAGCCACATTTGAGAGGTCAAGACAAAACACTCAATTTACATAATATCTTTGGGAAATAAATAGCTACACATCTCCTTGCCATTTACCAAATTGTATAGTTTACGAGAGGGGTGCGTGATAGACTAACTTCCACGTTTGCGCAAACTGGTCGACGTATACGCATACGACAAAAAAGTCTATAAACCTGCAGTTGACTTCTAACTACAATGACCCCACTGTATGTCTTATTCGACCACTTCCACAGTACTCACCTCATCTTACCTTTATCCCTAACTTTGTGTCTGTCTCTTTTACATCTGTGGAACACTCTTCTCATCTCCCTCCGTGAAGCCCGAAGTCAACCAAAGAGTCAATGAAAACTGTCATAAAGCCTCTCATTTGATATAAAGGAATAATTTACAAGAAGTAATACATGTAAATAATGATTGAAACCTAGCATTGATTTAAATATTTTGCAACCTTGATATTCACAGGAAAAAACAAATTTTGCTCAAGTATGCGATGGTTAGTGTACACATCTGTCTAGTGAAGGGTCTGGAGACATCGATGTTCCACTATATATGTCCAGTGACGTCTATTGTGATTGTTAATTCCGATCAATAACGTAAGTTTCGTGTTGGATACCATTCAAAATGACCTTTCTCTACCCAAGTGGAGCTAATAAATCCCTCCTTTGTCCACTGGTGCATCTGAAGAGAATGACTTAGGAAGGAAGGTAGTGAGTAACACTGACACAGACTCCATAAAACAGAATCAAGAAATTTTCAACGCAAATACAAGAAGATGAACGAGGAAATGAGCAATAGGAAATGCATGGAGAGCCCCCATCCCACCCTATTTTTCAATTTTAAAATCCAACCACTACTACGAAGAATTACTGCAGGTTTAATCGGAATGTCAACCTTTTCTCTCTAGTTTTGCGCTTATTATTTCCTGCTCATTCGCTTTAGAAAATTTATAGCCCACTTTACTGGCAAGTAAATACGGTTTAAAATGAGTTATCGAACAAAAATCAATATAATTTTGCTCTATTAAATGAGATTAAGTGCAAATGGTAAAGACCTAGTAAATAGCATTTAAATAAAAAGGCAGCCGCAGAATGCGAAAGACTATCAAACGACAATATCTTGAGAGGTCAAGGTAAATCTCCTTTATGCACAATAAGAGTAATCTTATTATGGTGCTACTCTGAGGTGGTGATTATTTGACCTTCAAATTGACTAATAAGATTGCGCCAAGTGATTTTATGAAAAAATATGAAATTAACTAATCGAAAGTTAGATGTAAACCAATTTATATAACTAATACTTCGAAGATAAAAATTCAGGCCCATTTGCCATCTTCTTAAGCATAGAGCCTGCAGAAAAACAAATTAGCCTCCTTAAGCCAATAAGACGAGATTATTTCGTAATGAGAGGTAGCGCGTTGAAGAAAGGCGTGACAAATTTGGGCAAATTAGCCAATGAAAAAACGCATTTTACAGAATGATAGCTACTTACTGCAGTTCTTGAGCCAATCGCTGTGCGTCTGAGGTGGAGATCACCCTTTCCTCTGTTTTATCCGCCTTGTTACCGACTAGAATCACATCAGGTCGCTCGCAGTATGCGTGTTGACAGAGCAAATTCATCCACTCTCGACAACTTAGCAGACTCTTCTCATTGGTCAAATCGAATACTAGAAGAAAGCCCATTGAATCTCGAAGAAACACCGTGCAGAGGCTTCGGAATCTAAAAAAAGACTTAAGTTAATAGGCTCTTCTGATGGTAGCAAGTAAACAGAAAGTTTAACATAGACAAGACAAATCTGCCACTCAAGTCGTGTTTGAGTCCCCATGAATACGTGTGCCTATTTTTATTTGAATGAGCTGCATAATTTTTGTCCTAGAGGAGGAGACACTGTTGGTTTTGTAGATAGCGATCAGAGTTTTCTGTCATCCAATCCAGACAACCTCTTCGAATGGTTATTTATAACTCAGGATTCTTCACAATGGAACGTTGTGGTAATATGGAATTATGTTAATTCAACGATCATGACCTTGAGAGATGGCCAAGTGCCCTTAGTAATTCAGAATATGTCCCTCTACCGTTGTCAAGTGTTACCTCAACTTCACTAAATCTCTTGAACATTATCATCTCCAGACATAAGCTTTCTTCTCTTCCACTATCAGGCGGATTTGAACTAGTTTGCATAATGCAGACATAAAGCAATAAAATGAAAGAACAATTCCAGTATTGGTGGGATAGGACCCTATCTATCTCTTGATCAAATAGAATGCAACATTTACTAAGCGAAACAATATTCACACTTGTTAAGTTAGATTTTGCAAGTTACAAGACAAGTAAATCGTTTGTGGAATAGTTGGCTGGCCAAATACTCGCAGGTTCTTAAACAGAAAGGATGTACATCTTCAAATATGCAACTTTTCCTCTGAAAGAGTGTCCGATTTCCAAGGAGAAAAGTTCTAGCGCAACAAGCGAAACCGATAGAACTTTGGAAGAGATTATTTCATAAATCTCACAAATATCCAAAAAGTCAGCTTAGATCTACAACTGTATGGAATAAGGAATACATATGAATATGAAATATGGCAACATCTTTTGATTACATAATTTAATGGGTATTAATTATTTCCCAATCAATAGACAATTTTCCCATTAAAGTGAAAGTTCATTCACTTGAGCAAATTGACGATTTGCGAAAAAATGTTCATTTAAATTTCCATTCACCAGAATACTTGCACGGCCTATGGAGGTTCGAAAAGAGAAGCAAGATCATGACGATAGTACATCTATTCAGATGGACGCAATGGCGACCAGGAAGTAACATGAAAATTAGAGAACAATCAGACGAATATTAAAGTCATACTTGACTTTGTTATTAGATTTATACGGTTAGCGCTTATTTATAACTTGATTATTATTATATATTTTTATTATTATTAATTATTTATTTCAAATGGCAATCGTTTTGATAGTTATCATTAGCCTTTAGCTGATTTCGAGCTTCACAGAGGGGAGGAATATCAAAGTATAACAAATCCGAGAGGGAGAACAGAAGAGTGATTCACGGATGTAAAAGAGACAGGCAGACACAAAGGCAGAGAAAAAGTAAGATGAGTACTGTGGAAGGGGTCAAATATGACATACAGTTGGGTCATGGTAGTTTGAAGTAAAAAATAAACTGCCAGTTAATAGACTTTTTTGCCGCATGAGTATACGTTGCTCAGGGTGCACCACGTGGAGGTAAGTCTATCGCACACCCCAATATTCGGGTGTCGATTTGCATTTACATTGTCATGTATTCGGTTGAAGAAGTGTAGTAAATACGTAACTTTATGCATTAGAGCAAAAACAATTGTCTTTCAAATTTTCTAAAAAGATTATTAAATCAAAATATATCAATTGGCATAGTCAATTGCACAAATCACCAGTGGGGCAGAATGTTTTGGACCGAATGGGTTAATGAAAAATAACTAACAACACTAAAACTCAATAATGTGGAGATTTATTAATATTATAATTTAAACCAATGTATGGGAAAAAACGATTTTCAACTGCGCGAATTTAAGTCGAATCAATTAGGACTTAATGTCCATCAAACAATGCAGGGTACTGAATCAAAAATATTTTTGTCAATTTTTAACAAATGGCAGGCGTTTTGATAGTTATCATTAGCCCTTCAGTTGACTTCAGGCTTCACAGAGGGGTGGAGGAACATCAAAGTGAGAAGAATTCGGGAGGGGGGAATAGAAGAGTGATTCACGGATGTAATAGAGACAGACAGACACAAAGGCTCAGAAAGGGTAAGATGAGTGCTTATGGGGTCGAATATGACATACAGTGGGGTTGATGGTAGTTTGAAATCAGAAGTCAACTGCTGGTTGA